TAAGCATGCAAGGAACCATCTTCCTCCCTCGTGAAGATCATATCTTCACCAATTTTCAAACTTAAAATTGGGACCATATCAAGGACACAACCAATAGTTCTGATACAATGGTGTTTGGTCCAGGCCTCATCATGTAGACCCTTCAGAATCCAAATGTCTATGTCCAGTTCTTCATGTGCAACAAAAGAAAGGAATCTGCCCATTTCCAGAATCCTGTCATGAGTTCTACAGCTCTTGGGCAGAGGCACTTTGTGAAATTTCTCGTTGGCCAGTTCCAAAGACACTAAATAGTCACTATGATCAATCTGAGGAATCCAATGCAAAGCTCTGATGGCTGAAACAGGTATGTATCCAAGCCAGCCAAAGAGGCCAAAAGCAGGTCCATTCACTTCTTTCCAGTATTTTGCCCCAACATTTAGTATCTCACAATTCATATATCCCAACTCATCCCGAAACAAATGCACTACTTTATAATCGCCAGTAACATCACTGTATGCAAAGCCATAAGATTCAGCATGAGGGGGAACTAAACTTCCTACAGGAAGGAAAATCCACTTTCTGGTGATAGGATTCACAACCATAAGACCTCCTCTCTTCATTGCACTATCCATCAAAAGTAGACCATTGCATGAAGCTCTAATCTTGCCTGAGCAGCTTATCTTGTACTTTGCTAACCTGCTATTTCCCTCTTTAAATTCAATAAACTGGATACTGAATTTTGATGTCCTGTTGAATGTCAATCCCCCAAACGGAAGAATGGGAGCTGGATGATTTGGTTGTCCTTCGTCTACCACAGCTCTTTGAAAGACCAACACAGATTCAGATTGACTAAAATGGGAATTAATGAAAGTGGGGCTGGTAATTATGTTGTACCATGGCTTACATACCAACATTGACTTTGGAATTAGAGACTCAATAGGCAGTCGAACAAGGATATTTGAGACACAATCTTTAGGAAGATAAGGAACAACAGTATCTTCTTGTTGCTTTTGTTCAAGAATATTTTGCAGTTGCCTTTCCTCTTCCTTTCCCTTCTTGGACAATGCTCTTTCTTGCAATATTCTCACTAAGTTTACACCCCTATTCCCCACTGCTTCGGCCATTATGTACTCTAAATCCTGAGTCAAATGCCTAACCAAAATTTTAAAAATTCAGAAAAATGCTGATGTTAGAGAATTGTACACGGGTCAATGTCCAAATGTACTGTTGAAATTTTTTTTTAAACAAAGAAATGGAGAGAAAATCAGGAAGAACACAAACGAAAAATGGAGAGGAGTATAAATGAGGTGAAAACTCTGGGTGTGTCTCCTTCTCCTCCAAGTCCTCTCTCAAACCCCCTTTCTTACCACCGAAAAATCAAACATGTACTTAAAGGTATGAATATACATGTGTGGTCAAGTACACTGCTTTTAATTGCTAATGGCATCATAATACCATATGCAAAGGCCATAAGACTTACAATGCGAAAGATGTAATGTAAAGAACCTAAAAGAACATAAATCAATTTCCTTTAAGAGAGTCATTCAACACTCTTCTTTTCAATTTTTGAGCAAAATCAGAACAGTACATGGAGATCTAATATTTCATTGGCAAATTACCCCAACTTTTCTTTTACTCTGTGCTTGTTAATTTCAAGGAGCTGGATATAGAGTTTTTATGTGGATTAGAGGACCAGAATATCATGATCTCCAAGGCATGTGTTAAACTCATACTTGATACATGCTATGAAGGCTATGGTAGGATAAGATTCTTAAATGCAGTTATATTATGAAAGAACTCAGATGCAATACTGGCGGTAGGTAATGCAGTTTAAGTCTAATGCCCAGGGTATGTATCCCATCTGAAAGGTGTCAGAGATCGACAACAGCTGTTTGTCATGGTTACGCAGGCACATACTGATCCTAAATTGGATCTGTAAACAGGAGGTCTTGGAGTAAAACAATAATGCACAAATCCTCAAATGTAAAAATCCCATTTACAGAAAAACAGCCAAAGTTTACATGTAAGATGGGGATCCTAGTTGAGGAAAAAAGTGCTTCAAGCAAGAATCATATGAAAAAAAATATCAATCAATGGCACTAGGGAAAAATTAGTGATTTCTTTTCAATCATACCACTCAAAATGGTACAATCACCTTGAGTTATTACCTGAATTTACAGCAAGAAACTATCTTTTATTCTGTATGAATAGCAAACATAGCATTCAACTACTGTAATTAGGTAAATACATAGATGCTATAGACATAAACAGAACATTTATATAAATAGAAAAAAGGTCCACTCCCTTTCCACATAAAAGAAGATTCAGAAGCACAAAGGTGGACAATAAATTGAAGCACTTGAATCTAAAGATATCATCAAACTCAATCCCACAAATAACCCATATCAGAATAGAAAATTCCCATGAATAACAACGCCTGAAAGTCCACATCCCCCATACCACCAAATTGCAAGAACAATTTAGCAACTTCTCTTATCCAATTCATCACTCTTGGAAATTATATCAACCCACTTACGAAATCATACTAAATCTTCAAGTTTTAAGAAATATAGGGACAATAACCCATCAATCCATCAAAAAAGTTCCAAGCAAAACAAAAGATATGATAACAGATTATGCTATTGTGTGAGTCAAAACAGCTTGGGAGAAGCAAGGGAGTGTACCTGAAGGGAGCACTCAGGGTCGTTGGGGAGGAACTTCTTGATGGTCTTTGCCGTAAAGGGGATGAGAAATAGAAAATTTTGCATCAAACCAACATTTTTTATTGCTTCAATTGAATTGAAATTATTTTTCTCCGTTGCTTTCAATGCCGAACCAATCAACGGCCATTTTCCTGCTCACTGGGTCAGCACGGCAGTGTGACCCGTTTCATGCTTGTTTACAAGATAAATACCATATTAGTCCTCAAGCTTTTGGGAATTTCAATTTTAGTTCTTAAATCTTTTTAATTGTTTTAATTGGGACAAATGGTCAATTTTCCAACTGACAAGGTGTTTCGCCTAACTTTCTAAAAGAAACTCTCTCTATATTTTCTTTTTTTTGGGGGTTTTGAAAGATATACAACACCTATTTCTCCAAAGGGAAAGGGAATGGTTTTTGGGAATTTTTGAGTACTATAATCTCACACACCAAAAGCGATAATAAATTTGAGATAATAATTTAATATGATTTGATTTATATACCTCTTAATAAATTTACATTTACGAAAAAAAAAAACAAATCCATTATTGAAAAAAAAATAATAATTTAAAAACTCTCTCATTTAAAAAACTCTCAATACCTTGACATCAATATATAAAAATTTTCAAATTCTTCTCAATACTCTATCTTAATCCACATAAGTATTATCTCACAATTCTTCTCTTTATTTTTTTCTCACAAGAATACTCACTCACTTAGCTCATCACAGTTGCTCTTGCTTTCATCTTCTGCCTTGCACCAAGGTCTATTTATAGAGCTCATCAACTCACTTGAGCAAATGTGAACAAGGTGAACAAGACTCCTTTAGGGTGGTGCCGTGCCTAGCAATAGGCTGAAGGAATTCTTCTTGCAATCAAGCTATTTTGTCAACACGGCAATAAATATCGTGAGTAAATTTCAACAATTAAAACATAGTAACAAATGTCGCGAAAGGTGAAAGAAAGAAAACTCTCTCATTTTCAACATTTTACACTACTTTTCAATGGGGTTAGTACACTTTGTCAACATGGGTAAAACCGTGGGACTCCAACATCTCCAAAGTAGGGTTTCCCCTTACTAAAATAAAAAGTGACATGTGTCACTAAGCCATAACATTAGGAACACATAAAAAAAATAAGATTATGAAAAATAAAAACGTTTTAATAATTAAAATATTAAAAATAATAATACATAAATTTAAATATTTTTAATGAATCAATATATAAAAAAAATTTATTAATAATATTTAAATA